CATTTTTTGGTTGCAGCCATCATTGTTGTTTGGTGGGCCCGGGCTGGGGATTCGAACCCGCCACCTTAGGTGTATGTGGCTGGTGCCTTAGCCACTTGAGCCACAGGCACCGAGCCTGAACAAATATTTTAATATTTCCTGTTGATACATTAAGTTTCCTAAAAAGTGCTTCCTATGCTACAGGCAAACCAAGGTACAGAATCCCCTGAAGCCCTGCACTCCCAGCTAGGTTGGCACCCAGAACAGTTAAAAACAGAGGTCACAGAAGTCACTTCTCTCATGTTTCTTTCTTTCTTTTTTTTTTTTTTTTTTTAAACCAAGGCTTAAAATTCTCTTGCCAAGGCTAGAATGCAGTGGCATCCTCATAACTCACCATATCTTCGAACTCTGGGCCCAGGTTATCCTTCTGTCTCAAGCCTCTCAAGTAGCTAAGACTATAGGCAAGGAACAACCTACCCAGCTAATTTTTTCTGCTTTTTCATAGATACAGTGGTCTTCCTCTGTTGTCCAGTTTCCTACTAATATGTGGTAACTACCTGTCTGGAGAATATTCTGGAGACAGAATGTCACTCTGTCACCCTGGGTAGAGTACCATGGCATCATAGCCCACAGCAACCTCAAACTCCTGTGCTCAAGCAATCCTCTTGGCTTAGCCTCCCAAGTAGCTGGGACTGCAGGTGCCCACCGTAACACCCAGCTAGTTTTCCTTTTTTTAAGTAAAGTTGTAGTCCACCCTCCTTGACCTCCCAGAGTGCTAAGATTACAGGCATGAGCCACCGTGCCTGTAATTTATTTATTTATTTTTGAGACAGAGTCTCAAGCTGTCACCCCTGGGTAGAGTGCCATGGCATCACAACTCTCAGCAACCTCAAACTCTTGGGCTTCAGTGATTCTCTTGCCTCAGCTCAGCATCCAAGTAGCTGGGACTACAGGCACCTATCACAACACCCAGCTTTTTTTTTTTTTTAAGTTGTAATTGTCGTTTGGCAGGCCCGGGCTGGATTCAAACCCACCAGCTCTGGTGTAATGTGGCTGGCACCCTAGCCACTTGAGCTACAGGTGCCAAGCCTGGAGAATATTTAAACCACAGCTTTTTCTAACCCTGGACCATGATGCCTTATGTGTTTCATTTTCTCTACCTTCCTCATTTCAGAAAGACTAGTTGCTCAGGTTTGAGAATGACAGGAGCTACCTGTGAGTGCTACTTCACTGCCAGGCTCTGTGCTAAGAACTTCTCTGTGCATAGTCTCGTTTAGTCTTTTCCTTGGCCCCATAAAGTGATTGCTGTCATCAGCTGCACTTGTTACCATTTCCTAGCGTCTCAGTGGTGCTAGGGTCTGCAGTGGGAAGCCCAGGATGCTGGAGCCCACCCTCTGGACATGGATTATGGCTAGTGAGGCACACTCAGGCTGTTTTCCCAGATGCAGAGGAGCCCAGACAGCTGTTTGGCTTAATTTTTTTGTTTGTTTGGTTTTTTTTGTAGGAAAGGTCTTTATTGGTGGGGGAGGGAGGCTGCAGAGCAGCACCAAGGAGGAGAGAAGAGAGGGGAGAGAGATAGAGAGTGGGGAAGAGAAGAGAGAGAGAGAGGAGGAAGGCAGAAGGAGGCAAGAGAGCTAATTTTTTTTTTAAAACAGCTCACACAATCTGTCATTTTCTTTAAAACATCTTTGTTTTGTCTCTTTTCTCAGAGCTAGTTCAAGGGGGAAGTAACCACCCAGGAAATGAAAAGCTGCTTATGAAGACTGGGACATGGAGAGCTGAGGGAATGATCATTGCCCATCTCTACTCCTATCACCCTGCTCCACCCTTTGCAGTGAATCACCTTCTGGGAGCTGGAGCCTTCACCGGGCCCAAGCTGCACACTCTGGACAACTGGCACAGCCTACGGAGGTCCTGGGTCCAGGCTCACTTGTGTAGCTGGCACACAGTTGAGAAGAACATGTGAACCTGGAGTTAATGATGACTTTTCCAAACCTGAGACTCTTTTCAGGGAAAATCACTTTAAACTTGGGGGAGGGGTGTACTCAAGAATGGAGTGGTGCTTTTAAACTTTGATGAGCAGCTAAACTCAGGTATATATTTAGGGAAGGGACTACTCGTAGTATTGTTTTTGGAGCTGGGTCCAGTTTACAGAATTTTCATGTTGCCTTTTAAAATAATTTTTGTTGGTGGTGAATGTATTGTACATAAAGTGGGAAGGGTGGGTGGGGATGTGGAAGAAAGGAGAGTCCTAACTGGTGGACACACAGCACTGGAGTGATCATTATCTGTTTACAATCATGTTTCACTGAAAACTTGGGATCTGGATGAGAGGGTAAGAAAGGTTTAATCTTGGAATATTTCACTGACTGTGTTTCCTTAGTGGTTGGCCAGCCTTGAAGAACTAAAGGCCTTCTTTCCAAACAGCCTGAGAGAATAGTTACATTGTCCCCTAATCATTCTGTCTCAGTTTGGAGGCAGAGTACTCTCCTGTGGCCTACAAGAAGCTTCAGCCTAGAAGAATGGGCTGTTCTCTCCCTCTGGTGCCCCAAATCTTGGATTTGAGAAAATGATGTCCCTGACTGGTTTTGCCACCAACCCTACCAGATAGTTGTAAACCAGTGTCAGGAATTGGGATCACTAGAGTGTTTTACTTACTGAAGATAAAATGAATTGTCCTATTCACAGACCTCTCGGGGCTGTGATGTAGAAAGCGTCATATAAGCGTTCTGGCATGAATCACATTTTGTGGAAGTGACTACTCAGGTTTGTATATGTTAGTATCAATAAAGAAATTGCACAGGTTTGAATAGGAAAAATATATTCTATAGATTGGCAGTTTGAATTTAGGAATATTTCAGTATATGTAGTTTTTATTCATTTTGAGTGAATCGTAGTAAAATCCGTCATGGTGATTTAATATAGTTACCAAGAACAAGTTCTTGAACATCATTTGTTATATCTGTGATAGGAAACCATTTTACAGTATTAAATTGCTTTATTACAGTTTTAGAAGTAAATTACACTGGAATCTCCCTGTTTAGCATTCTGTATTTAATTTTAGTTAAGATGTCACCAAAGTTAGGACCTATGTTTTAAAGTTTTGAATATCCCCCAAACGAAAAAAAAATTTAAAATGTGCTGAATTTGTAGGGTTTTGTAAAGAATAGCATATTCTTAAGCATTTTTTGGGATGGTAGAAAAGTCTCCATAAAATATTAATCTGCCCTTTTTTCTTATAAATTCCGCTGTGGGTGCTTTCCTTCCATTTCCAGCATTCTTAATGAAGCAGAACTGTCAACATTTACATTTTGTTAAACATGACCTCAGTTGGAAAGGAAACACTGTTCCCGTGTTGTAGAGATGGAACCCAAGACACTAGTGTCAGTTACAATAATGGAATTTCATACCATTAAGTGAATGCTTATTAACCTTGGTGGCATTTCTTAGGGCTTGGGCAGAGTTGAGTAGGGAACACAGATGCTTAAGTTACAAGGTAAAAAAATACACATTTTTCTCAGAGACTTTTAATTTTAAATTTGGTGTGTTTGCAAGTGAATTGAGTTTTGAGCCTGTGTTTTCATTGGATCCTAATTGTTAGAAATCTATCACTGACATCTTTTTTAGAGAAGTAAAAAGGTCAGATTTGGTCTGCTTTTGAGCTAGTCTAAGCTAACATGGTTGAAACATTACTGCTGCAGTTTTATCTTTGTGAAAAAACAGGGAGAAGGAAAAAAAATAAT